TGTCATCTTTTATAATGTTTACAATACTATTATAGCATTCATTTGAACATTCATCATTGGATCATTGTAAATCATTTATAATAAATATTTATCAGCTCTTTTATTATTATTTTTTTCATTAATTCAATGGTATGACAACACAAGTAATTTATCGTTCATTTCAAATTTCATTTAGTATTCCAGTTTGTAGCAACTATTTTGCTGTATTGTGACCATAATGCTCATATTATTTCTTTAATATGTCTGCATAGTTATGGAAACACTTCTGTTATTATTTAGTTTTTATTATTTTTTTATTGCAATATGTATTTTGGCCAGATGGTATGTTAATTTTCATGTACAAAATTTTTATTCTTAAGGGACTTTGTCCCAGAATAAAGTTGATTCTTCTATGCTATATACGTTATTGATTTATTTTGGTTATCCTTTGCAGGCCTATGGCTCTAGGCGAAGTTTTGGTGTGCTTGACCGCTCTTGGCCTTACCGTCGGCGGCCCCATTAGGTGCCAGGATTGCCCCGAGGACATGAAGCGGGACGTCTGGTTCTCGCGGGGCTGGGGCGCCAGCGGCCTGCCCTTCAATTACATAGAACCGGGGCCACGCCAGGGACCCTCCAGAGCACAGGTCGAGGAGGCTCCGCTGCTGGAGGCCGCGGGCGGCGAGCCTTCCGCGCAGTTCCTCACCGCCAGGCTGGTCTCCGAGAACGAGAGGTACTCCGCGGTGCCGCAGCTCTTCGTGTCCTACGGCTGGGGACCCCTTGGAAAATAACTGGCCATTCTTAACTAGATTTATTTATTTTATTTTCAAAAATGTATAATTTTGTTTTGTTTCTATGCGATAAGCTATTTGCAAAATGATTAATAAAAAAGTTTTTAAAACGTTAGCAATCTTTTATAATAAACTTCTTTCCAATACCTCCAATACCCGTGATCTCCTAATATAGTCATATCATTAGAGTGCTACCATTGGGTAGTTACTCAGCAAGTGTATTCATGTCATTATATCAATTATGTCCAAATTTACTTGATGTATTTATGTAATACAGTTGTAAATGTCATAAAGAAATAAAAAAAAAAAAAAGTAATTACATTATTTTTTTGAAGTCTTCAAAACAAAAATCACGGTCTTCACAGATAACACAAGGGTTTGATCGACGTAATAAAACTTTAGGTAAAATAAAAACAATCATAATCTTTATATCGCTACTGTTAGTGCAAAAGATCGTAGTAACAATTTATATGTTTATTCTATTTTTACTAAAGATGACATTTTTTAGACTGCTATAAATAGTTTGCTAAATAGAAATATAAAATATGGAATTGTACTAATAAATCCATAACGTGGCCGCTTACATTAAGAAATCAGCAACGTCTTAAGGTTTTTGAAAATAAAGTATTGCGTAGAATATTCGGATCGAAGAAAGATGAGTTCACCGGATGTTCAGAAGGTTGCAAAACGTCGAGTTGCGTGAACTGTATCCATCTAATATAATTGAGGTGATTAAGTCGTGGAGAATCAAATGGGCTTGTAAAATAGTTTGGCTCAGTAACGAAAGAATTCCTAAAAGGTTGATATTTGCTGTACCGAGTAGTAAACGTTCGAGGGGTAGACCGAAGCGAAGGTGGGAAGATTGCGTTAAAGCTGATCTGAAGGGACTTCGTTGCGTAATTACTAATAAATCGCAAAGAAATAATCTGTTTTAATGGCTCTTCTGTAAAAAAAAAAACTCAATTGTTACAAACAACCTTTTTCTACTAACAGTAGTCATATATAATTTTTCAAAGGTGTTTTTTTTTGTCCGTATGCCATATCTTTATGAAATCCAATGATTGACCCCTCACCGATTAATCGACTTTTGAAACCATCTGAATTTTGATAACTCCCAGATTTTTCAATGACATTTATAAAGCTGTTTAATTCGTCATTTCTTCATCAAATTCTCGATCGTTTGACACTTTATTTATTAAAATCCATCGCTGCTTAAAACCGGAAAAACGTATAATATATATATATATACCCTAATAGTTCAATATACTTATTTCAGAACCACGATATACGCAAAAAAGAAATCACTGATCGATACCGGTTTCTCGTTACTAACAATGTAATATAACCTTTTCTTAATGATGTCCTCATACGTCGCTCGGAATGAAAATATATTATTGGTAATTTATTCAAATCTGTTAATTACTTTGAGATTGAAAAATTCTCTTAACCGCTCGGAAGAAATGGTAGAAAACTCATTATTATTTGTATTCTGGAAAATAGTTGCAATTTTTCTTTCAGTTTGGACATAGATTTATTTTATTTACGATTGTAGCCGAACGATATTGAATGACCAGAGAACATTAAAGGATTTGTCTGATTATTATTAATTTTTTAAAGATGGGGTAACTCCACCAATTTGCCTAGTTCCGGTTCCTGGCAATGGGAGTGAACACAAATAAAGTTATGATAGTAAACGATTTTAGACAGGACAGAATTTACACACAAGCTCTAAGGAAGAAATTTATTTATGCTAATGAAGAAAAGGTTTCATTTAATTGTATTTTACCTACCTACCTTCATATCCCATGGCACTACAGCGCTACAAGGGCCTGCCCCCCCCCCACTATTTTTCACCACTGCTCTCTATTCAGTACCTTTCTTCGCCATTGTCTTAATCCTACGATACAGAGGACCTGTTCTAGGTATTACAGCCATCTTTTCCGAGGGCGTCCACTGCTTCTGCGACCTCCAGGCTATCCTATTAATATTTTTTTTTGGATTCTGTCCGTCGGCGTTCTCCCAATTCGCCCAAGTCAGTTATGGTGGACTTCTTACGAAGGATACCAAGTCTGTCTGGCAGTACATTTGTTGCAGTTCCGCATTTTTTCTTATTCTCCATCTTCCATTATCACAAACAAGTCCAAATATTCTTCTGAGTATTTTCCTTTCCCATCTATTCACTCTTTATTTTATATTATATAGTTTATTGATTTATGTAAGTTGATTACTTTCTTGAGGAAAAATCCTTGATGATATGAAGATGGGGTGGTAATATCTCTTGATAATAATAATAGTATTAATAGCCTTTATTGTACGATATAATCAGAGCCGGACTGAGGTAAATTTTAGGATGGAACGAGATCCAATTTTGGCGACTTCTCTTGTTATAATAATAATAGTTTATTATTAAAATAGGACACATTTTACATGCCACTTATTGACGTTTGTTTTATAGTATAGATTATTTCTAAATGAATCTTAAAGCTACTCCCACTTCTGGTTCGAGGAAAAAGAAGAGGCAGAATAAACTTCCAGTATTCCCTCTTCGTTCTGTCATTTCTTTTTTTTAACGTTTTAGAGACCGTTCCATCCGCCCTGTTTATAAACAAACAGAACTAAGTATTTTTACTATTAGTGATCTATTTATAATTACATATATTATTGCACTTAATTTCTGCATGGTCCTTTCCAAAAATGGAGTATTAGTCTAATCTTCCGAAGTGACTAATTGTACAGGAAAGGGGAGTTGTGTTCAATTCCATCCAATTACCTATCGATACCCTCCTAGCACTATCGGTTATCGATCAGCACAATGTTGAGTATCGACCACAAGCTTTGATTGTAAATTACGAAAGTATATGTTATTCTCAGTAAAAAGAACCTTGTCTGCCGTTCCGGAGCCGCTGCTTTAAAAAATGGCGATTGATTTAAAGAATATTAGGCCAGTAATTGAAGGATCCAAACGGAAAATCCTAGGGATGGGTGAAAGTCGATAGTTTCTCGCTATCGATAGTTTGATAGTACGATAAAATTTGATGCTCTACATCCTTGATTCTATGTTTTTTTCTCTTAAGATATTCATTTCCAAGTTGCAGAGCCATTTATAGTAATTTGTCTGTTTGTAACAAATTCGGTAAAAATCAGCGTTTGCTGACCTTGGGTTTATACCTTACCACGTAACCAAATTATAAAGTTTATGTACTCGTTTGACGCACAACTTAACTTTATTTAATTTAATGAAGAATGCATTTTTCGCTTTGATGCGCCGTTTAAGAGTTACAGGTGAAACAACAACAAAAATCCGACTTTTTTGGCTGTAAGTTTTCCCTTGGTAGCCCACAATAGCAATTTTGTTTTTTACATTTCCAAATCAATATATACAAGTTAAAAAAATGAAAAGTTTTCTCACATTTTTCGCAATGGATTGCCAGTTTTGATTCTCAAATTATTGGCCTAATATTCTTTAAAACAACCACTATTTTTGAAAGTAGCGGCTCCGGAACGGCAGACGAGGTTCATTTAACTTAGAATAACATACACTTTCGTAGTTTACAATCAAACCTTAGCCTGCCTTGAGGTCGATTTCGGGCCCTGGCTCCGTGGCTAACAGGGAAGGGGGATTTGTGTTTTCTTTATATAAGTAGTCAGTTTCTTTCTTTTTCTAACAAAGTAACTATCGTTATAAATTAAAAAAAAAACATCTTCCGGGCTTTAGCCTTCCTTTCCAAACTGAAATCCTGGATACTCTAGTGGCCTGTTCTGTTTTTCATTGATTGCTTACTTTTTGTTCCAGAGGAAAGAAAAGAGTAATGTAATATCTCTCTAAACCATTACTCCTTGGTCCTTTATAAAGTCTCTCTCAGATGTTCTTAATTATTTCCTCAGTTTGCACCTAAGAAGAGCTCTCTGTTGCATTTGATAGTTTTCCTGTATTTTCTTGACTCTCTAATTGTTCCAAGCTGAATAATTTTTCATCAACTAGCAATTTATCTGCTATCATCAGAACGAAGTAAGGCAGTTTCCAAATAACTATTAGAAATTAAAAGCTAATTATATACAGAACCTGTATCGTATCATGACAGATTATTTTAATTGGACAATGAAGTACAGATATTTTAAACAATTAAAACGTTATGGAATAGTATTGTTGGAATAAATATTCGATTGTCTTGATATTTGTTTTGGTATTTTATTGTTTTCAAGACTTTTTTTTTTTACTAATTAACAAATATTATGTCGGATATTGAAGAAGAGGAAGTTGGGGAAGAGAGGGATGAAGACGTCGATGTGATCGGGGTAAGCAAGCAACAACTTCACTGAACTTGATTATCAGTAGCGTTACCGGGTAAGAAGCGCTATGAGCGTTCAACTCTATTATTTTAAACAGTTGTTCCGGTACTAATTTAGAAGGGCAGCTCCATTTTAATGGTCCTAAGATCTTATTGTCATACTATAAATAGAATTCGAGTAGAGGACGTTCTCGATAATCCGAACAAAATGAAAAAAGGTTAAAGTTGAGTGACGAGGGATGGAATGCAAATGGCTCTGTTGTTTCTGTATTGTACTATCTTTAAACAGAAAACAACAAAACTAGGCGGTCATCCTAAAGTCGAGGAATCTTTTTAAATGTGATTTTTTTGAGCTATGGGGTTCCACCAAACCTTCCAATTCCTCTCGTATCCAATCCTTACAATCCAAAATCCTTCGTAAAATCCTCAATGCTCCTTATTTTGTTACAAATAAAATCATCCATAATGACCCTAATGTTCCTTATGTATTTTTTTTTTTTTTTTTTTTGTTCTTCCCTACCTCGCCTTTTAGGCTATACGGGATTTTCCTGGACTGGAGGATGAGGGCGGGGAATTTAAAATCCCCTCCGGCACCGGGATGCGAACTCATACTTTTTTAATCTTCTCGAATCTCTTATCGGGTTGCCAGGCAACTCGCAGTGCAGTGCACACGCTTTAGCCCATTCGGCCACCCCGCCCCAAATGTTCCTTATGTATCAGATTTGGCCCAATCCGGATATCTGTCCTTCCATAATAAACTTCATAACCATCCCAACTCTCTTGTTTCTAACCTTGCTTCCTATTCAATTCCTGATAACCCTCCGAGGCGTCTGAAAAGAAGATGGCCACGTGATCTCCTAGTATAGACATATTATTAGAGTGCTACCCATGGGTAGTTTCTTAACATGTGTTTCATGTCATTATATCCATGTGCGAATTTACTAGATGTATTTTTTGTATACAGTTGTAAATATCATATAAATAAATTAAAAAATGTGATTTTTGCAGCAGATATCGCGGGGGTGTCAAATTTTCGGGAATATATCAGCTGAAAAAAAGTCAAAGTTTTTCTTTGATAATTATTTTAAGAAGGGCGACAAATAATATGGAATAATTTTTATATTATTTTTTATTTCAAAGGAAAATTTCTTCACATCCATTTCATTTTTCATTATATACAACTCGTAGAAAGGCTATAAAGGCATTTACTTTAATAATTTCTTGGAGTTGGGGAATGCATACATTGTTTTTTAAGGAATTTGCGAGATAAGAAGTTTACTTTAGCAATAAAATCAGAGACTCAACGTACATTATATGATAAATTTCAAGACTTTTTTTTTTTTTTGCAATGTGTTTATGTTTAACTAATAATATACATATATATATTCGTTATCTCGTGCAATTTTTGCACCTTTGATAATTCGAATAGGCCATACCATTGGGGTAGAGGATTTACTAGCTGAGATAGAGCTGCAAGAGAGGCTCTATTAACTCCATTCAGAATCTTTTAACTCCAGCTGACTTAACAAATCTCAAAAAAAAAGAAATTTTAAGTCCAGGTGGGATGAAAGTCCTCCCAGCAAGCCAAAATTATAAAAAAGAAATTAAACCCCAGGGGTACCACCAGCCGTAAATGTAAAGAGATCGTATAGACTCGGCTCCCAATAGTGCACACGACACTCCTTTTTCACCACAAAGAGCAACCCAAACATAAGTATTTTAACAGCGGCATGATGTCAGTCACATTTTCCAAGAATGTCCATTCTATACAGCTCCATAGCTTTGGATTGAAATCTGAACTATCAACAATTCTCAGAGATGATAATACAACACAAAGATTGTTCTGTAAATTTCTAAAACTAAGTAACATATTAGAAATATCAAACAAAACCAATAATAATCAAGTCAAAAACCCGTCAAAATGTGCCTCCCTCAAAATCTCGATGGCGCAGTCTGTGCCATGAAACCCATTTTTGTGTATTCCTGGAGAGAGACCCTACATATGTTGTAAGCGTATATATAGAGAGGGCTTCTAGATAAATACCAACCCTTTCAATGTATAGAATTTACAGTCTTAAGAAATAATAGGCAGTTACCCCATAAACGTGGATTTCAAGTCGAAAAATCCACCTATGTAGGGTCAATCTGTCTTCACATGACCGCCATTTCATATTTCAGCAGCTATATGCTGGTAGACCTGCATTTTTCTCATCAGGCCTGTGGGTATGATCAATTTATAAGTACAAAGCTTAGTATGAAATATGACACATTTTTTGTTACGGGCTCTCGGAGTATGAGCTCAGCGCTATTTAGAAACTTGCCCACAAAAAATACAAATTTAAAAATTTGGACTTACCTCCTTCCATAAAGGCCACCCATTGCTTGTAATCTGTTCACCATAAGTAGCATAAAAAAAAAATAACAATTTCAGTCCTCTATTTTTGCTTACGACAGTCGGCTTTGACTTTTAGCCTTATCGATTTAACATAAAGAGTTCTTGAGTAGGACTTATTCACTCCTCAATGACATGAGCATTCCAACTTCCTCCATAAAATAAGCAGAGGTGTAAATCACGGTCTTTGAATTTAATGCTGATTCAATTTGATGTTTACTTTAAGTTACCGAGAAAACCTTCAAACTGAATTATTGGGACTGTGTGAGAAGTTGATTCAATTTACAACTCTTGACGTATTACAATTATAAAGAGTTGACATAGGTATCGCTGATTGGAAAGAAGTTGGCCACAACTCCAAACTTAGCTGTTGATCATAGACTTTGATCTCTACTAGAATGGATCTGTACGAGCGTAAAATAACTTAGAATCTTGCTATATAATTCTAATTACTGTATTAACAAATGCATACAAATAAATAAGTTCACCATTATTATTGAATTGAAGACACATAGTATTGCTTTGTGTTGCGTACAAAAACTGGTCAATCAATATCACACGATATGAAGGCAAGGAGATTAAAATGGCTGGAACATATAGCTCAGAACAATCCATCTGGAAGCCTCTACACAACAATGAATGCCTCAATAGAAGGCAGAAGACCACGTGGAAAGCCAAAAGCCAGATGGATAGATAGAATTTACTAAGATTCGATAGAATTGCATGAAGATAACTGGGTTTTTCACTTTTATATAATCAAAATCAACAAAATTATTAAGTAAAAGTTATATTTTTTAAATTTTCCCAGCCTTCTTAGACACAAACAATATATATATTTCGTATGATACAAATGTTTTCTTAAAAATTAAAAATGGTTGTTGCTAAAAAAAAAAAAAGAAGTTAGACAAGAGATCTGTCATAATCGCACTACACATGCCATTCTGAGAATGGCCGAGTGTCGGTAAGTAGAAAGGGGTGACTGACTAAACCGTCTGGTAAAGGCTTCCATATATTTTTTTTTTTCGTTCACCGTATACCGAGCCATTTCTGAGATACAAGGGAAGGGAAGTTATTCTATATTTTTTTTGGAGGGGTATTTCTTACCTCGCCTTTTAGGCTATACGGGATTTTTCCGGGACGGAGGGTAAGAGCAGAGAATTTAAAACCAGTCCGGCACGGGGACAAGAACTCGTACTTTTTTAAATTTCATAACTTAGGTTATCTGGTTGCCGGAAAACTACCAGTGCTGTCCACACGCCCATTCGGCCACCCCGGCCCCTAATATAGATGAACAACCAAACCTATTCTAACCATAGAGGGAAGGTCGAGATTCATTCCATGGGTTCTTCCTTCCCTTCCCCTCCAAAGAAGTATCCCTCACTTACTCAAACATATTGCCATTATATTCGGAGGGGAGAGCCCCTTCTAAAAAAAATGATCACCCACCTACGGAAACATATTGCTGCCATTTTATCTTTTAAAAAAATTCGGGGGGGGGGAGGAGAGGGGTAAATCTCCTTTCCCCACAAAAAAAGTATCCCCCACCTACCTAAACATATTGCCATTTTGTGTTTTAAAAAATTTAATTGAAATTAAGAGGGGTTGATATTGACTCAATAATATTAACCTTGTAAGGGGCATTTCTCACACATACACTTAATAGAAAAAAAAATATTTTAATTACAGGAATATGAAGGACAAAGAAATGAAAAATGCCAACGTCACGGAATTGGAAGAGCCCTGTTGCCCAACAAGGACTACTACGAAGGGCGGTACAATCAAGGTTTAAGGCATGGCCTGGGTCTGTACATATTTAAAAATGGCGCTCGTTATAACGGTCGATATTCAAAAGGAAAAAAAGATGGAATAGGGATCTTCATATACCCTGATGGAACCAAGTACGAAGGTATTCATTATGCTACAGGTACATAGCGCTCATAGTAGAAGTCAGAATAAGAGATGGGTGATCTAGAGCCAGATTTATCTTTTCTCACATTGAATCTTTTTCCATAATGCGACATTATCATCTGTGTGAAGTTTGAATTCTTAACCATATTATACCCTGACCTTTACGGTAGGGCTACAAAGCAGGAAAAGAAAAATCCAGTTATTCTGACTTCTACTATACCAACAAAGGCTCTTACTGTACTCTTACTGTAAGTTTGTATCAATAGAAAAGATGTTGAATGTAAATATATACATATTATAATATTATGAGCTTTAATTATGTAGATATAGTCAACTGTTTATAAACTCTATAAGATTACGGTGTGTGACCAGAAATAAAAAAAAAACATTTTCTTAGGATTTTACAAGTGTCAAAGTTTCAGCACACCGATAGATTTTGAAAAACAAAAAATTTGAACAAATATGATAAAATTAAATAGATTACACGAGATATCAGTTATATAGTAGTTATTGATAAATGAACTAAATTGAAATCATAAAAAATTAATTAATGAGAGCAAAAAAAAAGACAGTTCTTCATTATTATAATTGTTAAGTTCCAAAAATATAAATTTTTTTTTATTGATTGGGTATACCGTTTTTAAGTTCTTGACCTAAAAAGCAGAAAGAGGAAGCTATCCTATTGGTAATACATTTATTTTAACCTGACCAAGGTCAGGATTTGATCAAAGGAGTTGATCCTTTGAGAAAGAGTGGGATTTATACGATAGAATGTTCGTATTCTGCCATTTACATCAGACAGATGGGAAGGACACCGAAAAGCTGAATTGAAGAACACCTCCCTGGGTCAGGCCATACTTCACACTTTAAGGATCATTTTGTAGATTGTTCAAACCCACAAAAAAGTAATACAATAAAACTTTTGCAAAAATCAGAAATCAAGAAAAAAACTATGAAAAATGACATACCATGCCTGAATGTGCAGAAGTACTCAATTTGAGGATTCTGCCCTCATAAAATTAGTGGCCACTAATGAGAACAGGACAAGGGGGTAGGAATAGCCCATTTGGTCAATAGTTTTATTTTTATTATTAGTCCTCATCCTCGTCACAAGCAGGAGAGGAGAACCACCATAAGATAGGCGATCACCAGTTTATATTTAATAATTTATTAAAATTTGGTATTTAATTGTTTATTTTTTATTATTATTAGATTATTTTAAAAAAAAGTTTTTAGATTGTTTTGTAAATTTTTATTATCGTTGTTAAATTTATTATTTTATATTATCTAGCCTGATAAAGGTCTGATTAAAGACCAAAGCCGGTTGTGCAAAAATAAAAAATTATACAGAAAGACATCTTTTTAATTGAATTTGAATTTCAATCCTGTGGCATCAAATCTCAATTCAAGAATTCTCTATCATTTACAGCTCAAATTTACACTACTTTTTTTTTCATAGGTACTTCGTTAAGGTTATAAGGGGTTTTACTAGGGCGGAGAGTGTGGGTGAGGATTTAAAAGACTCCCCCGGCACCGGGACTCGAACTCATGATTATTTTTATATCATTTGAGTCATATATCAGGTTGCTGGGCAACGGTGCTGTGCACACTCGTTAACCCATTCGGCCACCTCACCCACAGCAACTTAGGTACTTCAGGACGATGCAACCTTGCAATGAAATAATTACCAAAAACATCAACAGATAGAGTTTCGCTACTCTCTGGAAATCATGATTCCCATTCACCTTTATGGATTCTGAAGATCTTTGTCTTTAATAAAAATAAAAATAAATAGATAAGTAAAACATTGCTAACAACTTATCAAATTTTCAGGAGAATGGAAAGATGACGAAAGGCACGGCTACGGTATATACCACTACGCTAATGGAGACTTTTATGAAGGGCAATGGCGTAAAGGAGTCAAAGAAGGACTGGGATGTTATTATTTCAAAGAAACGGGGGCAAAATATTTGGGTCTTTGGATGGAAGGCAAGATGAACGGGCAAGGGCAGCAAGTGACCAAAAATTACAGATACCACGGCACCTGGGTCGACAACTTAGTAATACATAATTATTTATATATCATACATTATAAAGGCTGTCTCAGTTTTTATTGACCAAACTCTTTCGGAGGGAGAGGACGATTCAAGACAAAATAACCAACAAAAAAGTTCAGTTGATGCATAGGCTGATTCCGAACAGAGAAGGAGCTCAGACCAATTTTGTTTTCGTCACGTTTTTTATTGAATAATATGGATTGGCTCTTATTTCTATGGAATGCTCTTATATATTTCTTGTAGAGACTCTCCACCGCCAAAACATGACCTTGATCAATCTATTTTCTCTCAAGGCCCCCAAGATATCAGACTTTCTCACCCGATCGAAGGCCTTTGTAAGATCAACAAAGCACAACGACATTTCCTTTTCTTTCTCCAATACTTTTTCAAAAACTTGTCGTATGGTAAAGATAAGATCCTGGGAGCTACGATTTTCTCAAAATCCGTATTGTTCTTCTTCAAGTACTCCTTCGATTCTTCTTCTTATTTCCTTTTTCAAGATCTTAGAGTAAATCTTACTTGGTACGCTCAACAGAGATATGCCTCGGTGGTTGTTACAATCTCTGTCATCGATTAAGGATACAAGCGTCAGAAATGCGATTCCTCCGAAAGATTGAGGGGAAAAGATAGAGTACGCAACACCACCATCAGGTCGAACCTCAATATTAAGCCGGCCAATGATGTGATTGAGGAGAATCGACTGAGATATCTAGGACATCTTCTGCGGATGGAACCAAACAGAATAGCTAGCGAAACCTATCGATCTAAAGTAGACGGCAAGAGAGGAGGACGGCCTAGAAGGAAATGGGAAGATGAAGTAAAGAGCGATTTCCAGAGAAGAGGTCTTCGATGGAACGATAGAAGGCGTCTTGACCGGTAGAGCTCTATAAACTTCCTCCTCACACTGCTTTATGCGGTTCAAGAGGATAGATTATGATGATGATGATGGAATGGCTCAAAAACTGTTCCCGATAATAAAAGTCTAAGTATGCCATCATAAAGAAGACAACATTATTTTGAGAAAACAGTGATTAAATTTAGTAAAGTCAATGATAAAAGGGATTTTCAGGAAGTCTAATAAGACCGCTGTACAGAGATATGCTGCTCGTGTATGGGTACTATAACTGCAACAGTACCCTGAGGTGTACTTAAAATTTAATTATTTTGAACAATTTTTTCAGCAATTCTTTCTTTCACAATAAAAACCATGACTACCTTAAGAAAAACACAAAATTGGTCTTGTGACTCCTTTTCTGTTCAGAATTGGTCCATGCATTAAATGAACTTTTTTGTTGTTAATTTTGTCTAGAATCATCCCTCCCCCTACTATACATCCCTAATATTATATAGAGGAAGTCATGGGCAGTGAGCCCGGTTCTGAATGTTGTGGTTTTGGTCCTCACCTGAATCAGCCAACATTTATTTCTTGGAGGATCTCAGAACTATAGTTACTCTCTCACTATAGTTACCACATGGCTGTAACTTCTTAGTAGCCATCAGGGATTAGCAAAAAAGGATTAAAAGGACCCCTTGCCGGACTACTTCCTCCAACTAATACTACTACCAGTATTATTCTATAATTATTAACTACAGTAATAGTTTAAATATAATTGGGTATTTGCAAGGGAAAAAGATCAAGTAAATTAGAACTAAAATCTTGTGTCTGAGGTAAATTGAACCGAGACCACAGCGATATATATACTGCTGACAAACATGATGCTATCAAACATCTCTTAGCCGTATTTTATACACCATTTATGCAAAGAAAATAAAACACATTTAGAAGTAAATATTTCTGTTTTGAGACAATAGGTTGACAGAAGAAACAGAAAGATGTTTCTTTGATGGATGTTTTAAAGCTAGAAATTCTAAGCTAACAAGTATAAGATACCCAACAGCCATGTTTTTCAGTGGATTTCTTAATAAATAAACAACTCAGAATTCGTAAAAACATTGTCAAACATTAAATTCAACATGCAACGACAAATTACATTATATAATTTTTAATTTAATCAAATACAAAATCATACTGGAAGAAATTAAAGATTGTTGAGGTTTATCAGTATCATAAATAAATAAAAAAGGTTCTGTAGAAAAAAAAAAAAAAAAAAAAATGTGAAAACCATCAAGAAGACAAAGACATCAGCCAAGAAGTTATTGAATAACCAGACAGAATATTTCAGGTGAGAAAATTCCACGAGCATACAATTTAGAACAAAACAATAAAATAAATAAAGAAAAAATATATTATTTATACCACATAAGGGTCTTGATTTCAGTTTTTGGCTGCGGCACGTGCTCCCAACTTATCGTTAAATAACTTAAAACATTGACAAAAAGCAAAAGAAATAAAAATATTTAAATTATTATTATGAATTATTTTCTACAGATTCCAAAAAAAAAAATAAAAAATGGCGCGGTGCATGCATCACGCAACTTTCACTTATCACCCTTTTTTAAAAACAGAAATAGGTATTTTCAGACAAAGGGAAGTGATAGTAAAAATTATGGAAGGTACAAAATATAATTTAAAACACTTACGTAGTATATGTTTTTCACAGCCATTTAATATATAGTATTAGTATATTTATGCCTTCTTTTTTTTTGTTACTAACCAATTCCTTTTACAACTGTATATTTAAATAATTTTTTTTATTATAACTAGGGAGGAGAAGGGGGTTACCGGCTGTCTGCCTAACGTCGAATCAACCCCCATTGAACAACTGTTCATTTAATTACATATGTGTAGAGCTTCTGGTTTTAGAAAATAAAGTATTGTGTAAAATATTCAGACCAAAGAAGGATGAGTTAACTGGAGAGTTTTGACAGTTACACAACGCCGAATTGATTGAACTTTTAATCCAGTTAATATAATTGAGGTGATTACATCGCGGCAAATCAAATGGGCTTGAAAAATTGCTGGGCTTAGTAACAAAAGAATTTCTAACAGGTAAATATTTGCCATACCAAATGGTAAACTTCCGAGGGGTAGCCCGAAGTGAAGGTGGGAACATTGCCTTAAAGCCGATCTGAAGAAACTGGATTTGAACAGCAAGCGGTGGAGAGAGGTGTGTATAAGCGATTGGTGGGGTCGGCATCAAACCTTCGGGTTCGCTAATCCTACTACTCTTATTCTATGTGTAGAGATTCTAGTCTCTTAATACAAAATAAAGATTTTAGAATCAAAATTTGTAGGGAAAATAATCAATAAAGAAGAGTATTATATTATAATATTGAGCTTAGAGGAACTCCAACTCTAATACTAAATAGAGATTTTCACTCTGGTTTCTTCGTTACGGTTCGTTCCGCTTCGAGTATTTAAAATAAAATATAAGTCACTAAAAACTTTTTTATATAATAGAGATAAATTATCAAATGCCATGAAATATTTTTAGTCCGACAAGAGTGCCACAGATAAAGAAGGCCATTATATTTATTTATATTTCATTGTAGGTATTTCAATTTGTTTAAGCATTAGTATATATACAAATATTAATTTCTATATTGCTGTATTCTATATAATTAAACATTAAATAATACCAATGATAGCATTTATGAAAATCGCACATGTATATGTATATAATATTATTAGAGTCCATATTTTACTATTTAAAATAAAAAAAATTATAGGTACTTTAGAAAATTCAAACATTTGGCATTTTAGACCTATTAAGTGACAAACACAAACACACTGTTTTGTGAAATTAGGTTACTTGGACTCATGCCGCCTCAAAACATGTATTTCCGTTGAAAACACGGATTCGAAAATGTTCACTATCGCAATACTTTTCCTTACTATATATTTGATATATAGGCAAGTGAAAGTAATAAAATAAAATAAACAAGATACCATTCTATAATAACGGTAACGGTACTGGTGGAGGAGGAAAGGGGGGAGAGGAGAGGGAACTAGTCTGACAAGTGGGCCCTGAGGTACTTTTTGCTAACCCATGATGGCTAACTTGAGGTTGTCACTGCTTAAGAGAGTGGAAATGTCAAGATTCATTTCACGGGACTGCCTAGAAATAAATATTGACCGACTCAAGTGGGAAAAAAACCCACAATGTTCAGAACCAGGCACTCAGGAACCCATGCCCCAACGTGCTCCGCCATCATCATGTTCTCTATCATTCTATGATAAGTACAAAAACTAATTATAAGCTCATATATGACTTTTTTTTTTTTTTGGCAAGCCGTATGGAAAAGGATGTTTCTCTTTTTCCGAAACTAAAGTGATTCAACATGGATTTTATTTAAACATTATGGGATCTGATATCGACCAAGGTGGTCTCGATGAGGAAGAAGAAATGACCATACATCCTGTCTGGAGACCAAGAGATGTTAGTATATGTTTATATCGACAGGCACACTGCAAAAGTCCGTAAGAACAATATCTTTAGGAAAATGAGGTTATGAGCTATTCTAGTCAATCTTGTCCTGGCACCTATTCTGATCCCACAAAATGAAATATACGATGTTTTATTTCTTCTTTATGTCCTTTAGTAAAAGCCAGCAAATTGTAATATATAAACCGTATGTTACAGTGAAGGTTACAGAAATTGTTTAGTAACCGAATAAAAGTAATGAAATACTCAACGAAAGGTGGTCATGTAAATATAGAATATATAAAGCACTTTGCACATATACTACAGTATCAATTAGCTTTATTAATAGACTAAAATTAATTTTCTCATAAGCTCTTTTTTCTTTTTTTAAATTACCATTAAGTGGCGGGCACTTCCAGCCCAGTGCCTCTAAGTAAATGCCCAGGTTCCCCTGCCCTGAGGCCGACACTGTTTACCAAGGAACTAGATGAAGCAAAGAAGAAAGTGGTAAGTGAGAATATAATATTAAAAATCCTTCAAAACAATCAAAACCTTTCGGCAACTGCAAAATGAAGTTGACTGGAAAAAAAGCTTCTCTGTCATCGAATTCCCGATAGTGAGAGACAAAGAACTGAGTTCATTAATTGGAAAATTTAACAAGAGACGAAAAAAGAACTCTAGTTTCATCTATTCAAACCAATGAATCTTCGAAATCGCAAGAAGCTCAGAAACGAAATATCTATAAATCAGTATGTTATCTGGAACTTACTAAGCATTCGAGAATCAAACCTGAACACATGAAGTTGAGTACGTGAAAAATGAAACTTTCAAAGACTACTCCAAAATGGGACGCATGCACCCCCTTCGAGCCACCTCTACAATGGGAGACAAAAAGTGAATAACACGTGTAATAAAATACTCGCTTTTCAGTCAAATGTTTTACAAATTTTCATTTCATGTATCATTAACAAAGTTATGGGTTTTAATACAATAAATTTGATTGCTTTTACCTAAATAATATCTGTTTTTCAAAGTAACTAAATAGCTATAAGTTAGAAGTAATGGCTCTAAAAGATTATATGATCAAGGTGCTGAGGAGAGGTAGTAAATTTAGCTAGGGAAGACCTAGAAACTGTAAATGGAGACCAAGAAGACACTACTGACAAGACCGTCCGTGCGCGGTGAAGAACCTCATCCTGCCTGAGGTGACCCTGCTTCCGACTGTACACAGCAGATCTAGACCGGGAGGTAGATAAATATCCCTGGTAGCAGGCAGCATTGTTACCAGTACTGGCAAGAAGCCGAGGACAGTAGTAGTCCTGGATCCTGACCACAAAATCAACTACGTGGGAACAACCCTAAAAATGATGCAGAAGTCAGAAATGTTGGCCGAAAGGTGCACATAGTCCCCTGACATATTTTAGGATGGTGAAGGAAAACTGTACATCAGGTATTACTTCCCAAAATGGCTACAAATAGACAAAAGATTATGGTGAGAGGTGTTTCTATTATGGATTCTTGCCGGGCAACTGGACCTTGGGACCAAGCTGTTCGGAAGTCAGGAGGACCTAAGGAGGAGCACTAACTTTGTTTTTTTACTGACATAGCCATATAGAGGGAAGAACGAAGAAGGAGAAAGATTATTTGGCATAAATACGATCTAAAAGATCATTACGTTACTAAAATAGATCATTAAATCTTTGTCTTAGGCCTGCAAAAAAAAAATTGAACCGTAAATATAATGTTCATACAACAAAAATTATGTAGTTTTTTACGCCTTCTGAAAATTTTTAGTTTTTGTTCTTACAGGCTTTTGCAGTATGACTGCCTATATTTAAAGTGATTAAAATTACTTTTTTTTTTAATTATGAATGCACTAGTAGACTCTCACATTAAACAGCTTTCCTTTTCCCTAATGCTTTTGATGTATAAGGAACGTCAGCGAAACATATTTATTCCCATATATAACATAATCATGAAGGATGGAAAAATGGTAGGATGTGCAGTGACAAACAAGATCTGTTCTTGTCCTGCCTTCAAAGCATTGTCCTGATGATGATCCACACGTTTGGGCCAAAACAGCAAACTCAATAAACATAATTTTTTATCTGCACATCCTGACCATTTTTCATCGTTACAATTTCAACAGTCAACTATATATATCAATCTGTGACTTTTAAAGCCATCTGAATTTTGAAACCTACTGATTTTTTCAATGACTTTCATCAGCATTGTAGGAATTTAAGGATCAAAATTACAATTTGTCACTTCCCCTTAAAATTAAATTTCGTTTGAAACCTCATTTTTCGATATCTATTGCTCTTCAGAGCTGGAAAAGGAATCTAAACTACAGCACTACATACAGTATAAATTACCAAAGAAAAATAATTAATTTTATTGTTAAATTTCAGATAACTCTTTTTTCTGCGTCTCAACTTCCAACAGAACCGAAACCTTTGGAATACCCTTCAGATGTTTCAAGAAGTCCCTCTCCTGAGCCCACACCACCGCCCTCTGTTGATGTCTATGAGAAAGATTTTTTCAAAGACATTGCTCAATATGATAAATACTATCAAGACGAGAAATTGATGTGGCAAACCGACAAGTGGGACACAGAAATTTTGGAAGAACTAAAGAAAAGAGCAGAGCATCATCATATGAGCGAGGAAGAAGAGTTCATGCATGAAGGTACATTATTTATGTATTCCATTGAATTTAACAATTTTTTTCTTTTATAAAAAACTGAATTTTCAAAACGAGATGTCTTAAATTTGAAAAATTAAATTAAATTAATATAATTCAGTTATTTAGAATTAATTAATTAACATAAAACAATTAAATTAAATTTAAAATAAAATAAATGATACAGATCTATTTTTATTAATCAAAATACACTCAATTCATTTAAGCTAATGTGTTTGTAACTTTTTCATTTCTTCTAAACATAATTTATGATAACTCATAATTAATAACAAATTCTGAAAATACATAACAAATTCGAAATCTAATGAATTTCGATCAATAAAATTTTTACCTTTTTAAAACAGGCTCAGATATCTTTTAAAAAAATTCGGTAGTTGGCAGACAAGAGGTGTTGAGAGCAGGGTTGAAAAGGTTTGTTTCTGTTTTGGCAAAGAAGTGCAGCGGAAACTAAATAACAATAATTTTTTTTTTGCGGCCATTTAATGCATTAGTTAACCAAGTTTCAAGTTTTTTTACCTTTCCAATTGCACTGGTCAGCAATGGTTAATTCGGTGATAGAGTTTTTCTGCAAGTTTTTGAACAGTTGTTCTGTTGTCTTCTTCTACTAAATCTCGCAGAACGTAGTCATCAAGGAAAGAAGTCTTTCCATGACTGTCTTAGTCTTCAAATATGAAATCTTCCTTACAATATTTTTAAGCCATTGTTGAACAGTGCACTCACTCATAATGCCATCGCTCCACACTTCATTAATATTTCTGGCCATTTGGATCCCATTTAGCAAAGACTGAATTATTTCCAACTAGTGATATTTATATTTATGATACTCATTTCAATATATTAAAATATCTCTAATGTAACTTATACATTGTTCAATTACTTGTCTGTACATACATCTTTATAAATATAATATAACAATAATGGTATAGAAAATCCAAAGGTTTGATACCGATGCTACCAATTCCTTTCTGTATACTTCAATTCCAATCTAAACCCAAACGCACCAAATCAGCCTTCCAATCCTCCCACCTTCACTTCAATCTACCTCTCGGATATTTAACCTTCTTTCAGGGATTTGTTAATAAGCCCAACAAATTTACATGGCCATTTTATTTGCTGCAAACCAATCACTCACCTCAATTATATTTGCCAGGTACAGTTCAAACAATTTGGCATTGTATAAACTTCTAAATTCTCCGGTTGACTCATCCATCTTTGGTCTCAATATTCTACACAATATCTTATTTTCAAAAATCTTAAGTTGTTGCTTATTCCTTAAAATAAGTGGGCACATTCACATCTATAAAAAAAACTGTAAGAAGAGTTATAGTTTTGTAAATTATATTTTTTAAGTTTTATAGTCTTCACAACGTTTTTCTCTTCTTAATTCATTAGATAAATGGCTTGCCACAAAAGAATTTGCTTGTGAATCAAAAAAAAATAAAAAATAAAATAAATAAATAGGCATTTAATACACTATCATTAATATTATAGAATGAACAAAAAACAGGTTTACAAAAATTAAGTTATATTATATTTAAAAAGCTAAGCTAGGTAAATTTATTAAAAAAGTTGTTTTCGTTTTGTAATGAGGTTCATATTGTAACAGTACAATATATATCGTATTGTGAACGTCTATTGAATATAACCATTACAAGTACCATTTCATTATAACAATGGTTCTACATCTCTATAAACAAAATAAAAGGTTTTGAATAAAATAGAGTGTATTTTTGACCATATTAATGTTATCAATTATTATGACCAGCTGTAAAAACTTATTAAATACTTACTGAAGGCTTCACTGAGGTTCAAATTTTTTTCTTATTTCCAAAACTTAGAAGCACTTTTGAGGTTTTGTAGGTATATTTTTGTAATTCTTGGTTGGATTATAATTGATACATATATATATATTGACAAACATGGATTTGCCAAAAACTATGTCTTAATAAAATTTAAGATAAATATATTAAGATTTGTGGATTAATTTCTCTATTTTTTTCATAGGTTACGTCACTGACCCATTAGAAACTGAATGAAGAATCAATTTTGTTTTGCTAAAAATATATTTAATTTGAGACAACTATCGATGTATAGTTTTATAAAAATACATTTTTATTTTAATGTTCATTAATATAACAATAGACCTACTTATTTTATTTATGTAACATCTTCCATTAGGATACCATTTAAGACAATGGTATGTCATAAAATAACGAAGCTAATGGGTACCTGATAATGAACGCTACACCGGTGCATAACACCTGAAAAAGATTTTTACAAATCAGTATAGATCATCAGCAGAAAATAATAATTAAATAAATGTATAAATAATAGAAAATCTACTATTAAATCATAAAACAAATTATGACAGCCTCACATGATAACCTCGTAACTGACTTTTTTGCCATGATTTTTTTCACAATTTCAATAATAACATTTTTATATTATAGCTCATTGGATTAAGAAATGGTGGAAATTGATATTACCAATTGTCAAGCAACATAACTATTTGTTGAGAGGTTTTAATTAAAAATAAAGATAAATATCACACATAAATTAGGTCATTTTTTAGAAATTCAAAAAAATTGATTTCAGAAGAGTCCACATGAAATAAAACAATTTGAGTTTGATAAATTAAAATAAGTTCTATTAATATAAAATATTTCAAATTTAATATTTACCTGCACACATAATAAGGCAATAGTTAAATGTGATTCGTGAAGAGGGCCAAACTTAATCAATAAAAAGTTAATAAGTGTTAAATTATTCGTCACGATGTTTTTGCCTTCATAGCGGATTTTAGCAATGCTCAATTTGTCAAAAAGTTTTAAAACTAAATGACCTAAAACTCCTATTTCGTTTACAGAAAACTGGACTGTGCTAGGTTCGAGAAAGCCTGCTTTTGATAACCTAAAATAAAAGTAAACAAAAAAATAATAAATGTAATTTTATTCAAATAAATCTCACAAAATTCTTGTTACAATCTTGCTTTAAAGTAAAACTAACAAGTAGAGACATACTGGTGAAAGCTCCTTCCTCCTCCTCAATTAATATACCAAAACGAACTAATAAGTTGTATAATAACTATAATAAAGGCAGTGACAGATAAAAAAATTATCGCTAAGCATTATTGTTTCTATTTATTCATTTTTAAACACCTTCCATGACACTAGTGTCTAGGGAGCAAAATATTTTTGAGAAGAAGCAATCATCGGGTCTATGACTTTATATGCCAGATTTTTTTTTTTTTAAATCTTCATTTTTGCTTAAATTTTTTAAACGCCTGCTTGTTGTAATTAATATCTATTAAGAACCATATTCTCATCATATTCTTCAGAAAATTGTAATAAGCAATTTTAGTTGCATATGACTTTTCATTATTTAGCAAGACTGTTTACATACACACAGATCATTTTGCAAGAGTTGGTCATTTGGACTCAGGAGACCTCAAAACGTGAATTTCCATTAAAAATTTCGGATTCAAAATTATTCACGAATACAATACTTTCTCTTACTATATTTTTCATATATAGGTAAGTGAAAGTAAAAAAAAAAACATAAATCCTTATCACTACAATCTATAAAGGGTCTTGGATTCAGTAATTTATAAAGATGTACGAATTTAAGAAGGGTATTCACTTTATAGGGGTTGGATATAATAATAACAACAAGATATAGTATCTCTGATGTAATAATTTTAATAATGATGATAAATATAAATATCTTTACAAAACTAAACTCAGAGCCACTAAACTAACATACAGTTTTCTATTCTAAATTAATTTAAAAAATAAAATAAAAATTATACTTAGGAATTCGATGTCGTGGGCAAGGTATCACATGAAACAGCTGTGGTGTAGAATACAAGAAATTAGCTATCTGTGGTAGAAAGAACAATAACACTGTTTTACTAAAATGTCCTAAAATTCCGACAACTGCAAATGTCATACCAGCGAAATAACAGAATGTGTCTCCGACAAATACACGAGACGGGTACCTAAAAAAAAAATATCAAATATTAGTACGCAATTCTTCAAAATTATATTTTATAAAAATATAAAATAAAAACATTGGAGGAGTTTTATTTATAGAGATAAAGAAAGTATAAGAATAAATAAAGATCTTGTTTAAATTACTACTTTTTAATCAAATTCTATTCGAGAACGTTAAAGTTTACGCTTTAACACACTCGGACATCATGACCTCAAGAACTTCCCTGACCCTTGATCTTCTTCCTAATAATCCAATGAATCTAAAGATTTAGTTTTAACACTGACTTAAAAACTTATGATTTTCAGAGGTCGATAATAAGTCATTAAGAAAAGTATACAAAAATATTAACTATGAATTGGTGGCTACTTTTAAATAAAACATTTATTTATATATTAAAAAGCAGGGAGCAACATTAGATTAAAGTTCTTTATGCATATGAAGAGAATGGATTGGAATAAATTAAAAAAACTAACATTGGATAAACTTATGGGACTGAAGACCAGAAAAAAATATTCGGAACAAATAAAAGAAGTAGAAAAAATAGGTATTGAAGATGAAGACTACCAAGATAAGGAATAATTGTATCAAAGAAGAAGAATCAAGGAAATAAGAAATGGACAGAGGAAAGGAGGAAGATGAAAGCAAAAACTAGAATAATATAGACTATAAAAAGAAAAAAAACCTAGAGGTGATATACGCGTGGTCGATTGTTGGCCATATCGCAATAAATAAATAAGTAACAAAAAATATTTTTTTATAACAGAGTCTGACTGTTTGTAAAGGAATAAACTCAGGAAATGAGTTATAATTAATTAAATTGTACTTTTTTACTGTTAAATCAATGAAATAATTGTTATTTATTTCATCTAATCGATCGTTACTTTTCTCGCCGATTAATTTCAATTTTAAAAACTATAAATTTTTCAATATTATAAAGATTCAAATAATAGACATTTTACTAAAACAATCAGTTTTTTATTCTTAAAAATTAAATTAGTAATCAGATAATTTAGAGAAATTACCAATTATATTTAAGTAGTCCCAATGTTGAAAAAATAAAAGGTATTATAAAGTATAAAGAAAACTGATGCGTTCTCCATAATTCACCAGCGAGTTCGCACAGATTAAATAACATTATGGAAATGGCTATTATAACAGACTGTCCAGCTTCAAGACCATTCACTCCTGCGAGTATATTTATCGCATTGGTGCAGAATACGGCCAGCATTCCCATATATACGTAATAAAATACACCTAAACAAAGCATTCTACTAGAAATTTGAAGTAATATTTGTATAATATTTATTGTTGTTGTAATAATTACATTCTAGTACCTAAATTCAGTAAACGTCCGAACCATGGTTGAAACGGTTTAGGAATCACTACAGATGTAGAATTAAATGTTACGTAATAGACCATAAGGAGAGGTAGTGAAGCAACAGTTGGCAAAAGTAGCTTATGCTTCCATCTTAAATCGATGACGTCATCAGCGAACCCCAATAACAGCATGCAGCAAATCGACAGCAAAGCAGCAATCAATTTTATAAACTGAAATGAGAATATTAGTTTTGAATAATTAAACAGATACTATAAGACAAGATGTATGTGATGATAAGTTTTGGCATAATTCCTTAGGTCACCAATCACTGCCTAATCTCTACTTTAATAAAATGTGGTATTTCCATTTGGTTATGACAAAATATTTGTAAAAGAAAAGAAAACAGACTATGAATTATTTCATAATCACTGAAGTTATTACTGTCTTTGTAAGATACTTTTAGGACTAACAACAGTGGAGAGGAGTGAAGAAACTCAGTTCAGTGACAAGGTGAAAATTTGAAATACAGATTGAAGTATTATTTTGTCTTTGAACAATGTTTTTCTCATGCTTCATTATAATTTATAAACAGTAAATTTCATTGTACTACAAATTTAAATTCAATTGATAATGTGTATAACAATTCTTCTTAGAAATAATCTAGGTATTTTACAAGTATTGCTCCAGTATAATTCGTGGGCCAAGATCTCGTGATCACACTTTAATGTTCCTTCATTTTTTTTCACTTTTATTTTTTAATCTGCACCTGTTAACTACATTTATTAACAATCAACAGATGTGTTGGCTAAATAATGAGAAGAGAAATTTTCTTTGTTTTCCCTGTTGGCATAACAGACCATGTAGATCTTTTGCCGCCTTAACAAGTCTGTTCGATCTCTGCCTGTCTTGGACTATTTCTTTCCAGTTTTCTGCATCAAGTCTATTGCATTTTTGTTGATTCTATCTATCCATCTGCTTTTCGGCTTCCAGATGGATTGCTATGAGCTACATGCCCCACCCATCTTAAGCTCCATCTATAAGGATATTGATCAACCAGTTTCTGTAAGCAGTTCTTTATTGCTCTTTCTTCTTTGTGTGTTAGTACTCTGATCCCAGATTGTACCGGTTATCGTGCGGAGGATTTTTCTTTCAAATCCTTGAATGTTTTTTTTCTAGGGTCCTGGTTAGTGTCCAGGTTTTCACAGCCATATATTAGAACTGGCTTTATCATACCATTGGACACCATTAGATTTTTCAGGGTTTCAATACTTTCGGAAGGGAGAATAAAACTCCATTTGCGCTAGTTATACGCTGATCTATTTCTGACTGTTGGTCATTCATTGAGGTCATTATGGAACCGAGGTATTTGAATTTTTCTACTTTCGGGAATGATTTCCCTTCTACTCAGATCCTGTTATTGCGGTGGAATTTTCAGCTTATTATCATATATTTTGTTTTCTCTTTATTTAATGGTAGACCGATTTGCTCTGCCTCTCTTATCAGAGTCTTAGCGAGTTTCTCAATGTCCTCTTGATTACTTCAAAGGAGAGCTATATAATCTGTGTATCCAAGGAATTTATGGTTAATTCTGACATGGACCGCTCCATTTTCCTGTGATATTGTTCTTATCACCTTTTCCAGAGCTAAGTTGAACATCGGTGATATAGTCCATCTCCCTGCCGTAAGCCCCTTCGAACTTTGAAGGTTTCAGATACTCCTCCTTGTATTATGTATAGAAGAGAAATATAAATAAATAGATAAAATAATAAAACATAAAGAGGCTTCATAGGTATGAGAAAAATCAGTACCCCTTCAACGGCTTTAATTAACTTACATAATTATGTAAGTAGGTCCCTCATCCATACTCTTTACAGTTGTCTTCTGGTATTCTCTATTACAAGAGTTATGGATTTTTTTAATTAGCTGGTTGAAATGTCCTTTCAACTTATCATGGAATCGTTTGTAGTATGTCTGTATGTATTTTTTGACAATCGGGAAGCGTAAATCAGTGTGTAAAGTATTGATTCACATGCCAGGGTGCTTGAATAATTTTCCACAATATCTTAGATAGAAAATTTTGAAGTTTTTTTATGTTTGTCGGCTTTATATATTTGTAATCCGTACATCCAGAGAGGTTTTAATAGGTATGTGTAAATATTTAATTTCTGTCTTGCTTTTAATATCGTCTTACACAGAAGTACAGTCTTAAGTTTGAAGAAACCTCTGATCGCTTTATTCAACTCTCGATTTATGACTTTTGCAAACCACCAACTGGACCTTTTCAGTTTAATTCAGGACCTTAATTAGCTTTGATTACATCACTGCTTTCGACTTATAATTCCTTAAAAGCGATATTAAAACTCGCAATGGGTGCTTTTTAGTTGAGGTGTGTGTCCTAGAAGATGTTTCGGTCCGCTTTGTCTAATTTCGCACACACTCGGTCATTCTCAGACTAGTGTGATCATTAGATCTTGTGCCAAACATTGAAATAGAGCAACCCTTGTAAAGTACTACCATAATCTAAATGAGTGAAAATAGTTATTAAGATAACCCAACTTAGATCTCTCATAAAAGTCAAGTAAGCGGTTAATAACTGTAAAAACATATTAATCGAGTAAAAATAATACAATCCAATAAAATCAGCAAGTGATAAATTTATTTCATCAAGGAAAAAAAAGAAAATACGTCAATTCTCTCAGGGAAACAAATAGTAATGTAGTACAATATAGCAGAAAAGAGTGACATTTAATAGTTTTAAAAATATTAGCAAGGCTTAAAACTTTAGAATAATATTTAAAAATCTATAATAACATTAAATATTACTTAGATCGTTACCGGCAGCTTCATATTACTAACTTGGAATAGGTACTTCTTTACTTTCAATTCCTAAATTTGCATATTTCTCTTGAATTATCTCACCTCACTATAAAGAAAAGAAGTTGTTCCATTATTCAAAATTATTTGACCAAAAGGAACAGGTATAAATAGAAACATCGTTAAGAGAAACATACATCCGCTAACAACTCCAAATGCTTCTGGACTGAAACAACAAATTAACTACATGAAAAATAATTAAAAACGGTGAGTATTTAAACTGAAAAAGTTAAGAAATGGAATGGAATTTGAAAAACTAAAAACTTAAGATTCAAATGTTGAACTTACATTTTTTCCTTTGATGTTTTGTTCATATCCATTCCGAATAAATTAGCCTTTATGAAAGCAGGAGCTAAAGTTGGAATGAGTTTAAGAGAAGAAAAGTAAAAGAATATGGAGAGAATGAGATTAATAACTAGGGGAAACCATAGTTCCCATGAGTATAAATGTTCCGGCATCATTTCGAAAACGATGTTATATTACACCTAAATGCTATAAAATTGAACAGCCTTCAATACAGGCATTATTCGTAAAGATTTGTCCACGTAATCTAAGCGTTTTACACTGATAAGACTCACATGGTGCAACGTACAAGGTTGAAAATTCAATTGAACAACAAGCAATCATTATTATACACTGTTCTCAGCATAAGTTTAATTTCACATACAATAAAATTAGTAAATAATTGTAAATTCTGATATCGGTGATTCAAAAAATACACAACCTCACCCTTCAGAACCTTTCTCACAGCCACTTAGATTTGTTTGAAGATGACCTCTTGAAGTTCAAATATTTTAATATTATTAAACGATTTATTTAAAAATTATTACTGGAAAAGATGGTTTCCAATATAATTACAATTTTAAAATACTGTAGATGTCAGCTTAAACGTACGAACTTCAGAATATAAATACACTGCAAAAAAATTAATCATTAAATTGTTTATATTTTTATACAAATCCATAGCAATCAAATTTATTTTAAAATATATTTACTTTATTATAAATAGTTATATTAAAAAAAATTTTGTTGTTTGCTTTATTGCGAGATTTTAGAGCTAAATCGAAGCGCTGTTGTTTTTTAAACTATAATTTGAATAGCAAATAGTTTTTGAGTACATAGTTTCTTTTAATTATGGCTGAGGAGTATTTATTTTGTAATTATGGTGATTGCAAAGCAGTTATTACAAAATTTGTTTGGGTCACGCGATGTTCTCATGTATTTTGTGAGGAACATGGCAATTCATTTTTTGCCAACAATCCAAACAAAATTAAATGTCCTGTTTGTAACGAACCCATTTGCAGGAACAAAGATATAATTAAGAATAACATAAATCCTCACGATGTAAGATTAAATTTCTTCAAAAAGTATTAGAATTAAGTTTATTTTATTGGAATATGTCTGTATCTATGCATAAGTGGTTAAAAAAATTTAGTTTTGGCTAATAATTAGTTATGAACGCTGACTTCTATACTAATTGTCAATGGTTAAGTCATTCCAAAAATTTTAGAAAATAACGCATTGTAAAATTACACTCATCACTCAAAATGTCGCTATTTTGAAAATTTTAAAAAAATATTCAGTGGAATTTTAAATTTCTTGGCTCAAACACTTATTGGGCAGATTTAATGATATTATCGTGTATAATTATTAAGTGTTTTAATTTTTCTCTATCCTTTTTTTAGATGATGTTAAGCTGTGTCAGACCAGATAAAGTATTGGATTACGTCATAACTGCAACTAAGTTATGGTCCTACCAGATGAAACAAAAGCATAAAGTTAATATCCAGATGTTAAGTGAAAAATACGAAAAAATTGCTTCTGATTCTATGTCTAAATTAAAAACTGAGAATAATGGTATGTACAGATGCATTTGAAGAAATTAAAAGTTTTTATAATTAGTTCTCATTCTTGTTTTGAACCAATAAACGTCTAAAAGTTATTATATGATGGGCTTCATATAATTTTCGGGGGAGAAAAAGCCAAGTTTTATAACATTGCTTCAATTTAAACCTAATCTAATATTTTATTTTTAAGATTCAACTTGAGCATTCTTAAATAAAATCATCTGAAACAGTTTGGATTGAACCAATACAACAAAAATATACTTTTTTTCCAGTTTCCGAAAATGACTGATGCCCGTCTTTGATATGAAGCCACTCAAATCTATATTAAGGTAAGCTCCTAAACTCTGTGCTGAGTTTATCGATGAGATCGTTTCACTTATTTTAGAGACAGGTCTGATGCCATCGATGAGTTCAGATTTGAGTTTAGGAACTTGCTCTTTGGTAATGAAAAAAAATTTAAAGCGTTAAATAAAAGTGGTGGTGAAGGAACTACGTTACGAGTGCAGAAACTTATACGTCAGGGACTGCAAGCGACTCATTGGATATTTTAAACCTATTAGCTTAGAATAGTGTTAACCACAGGCGGATCTACGGGGGGGGGAGGGGCCTTTCGGGCTGAAGCTCCCCCCCAAAATGGTAAAATATAACCATGTTTTACAGAAAAAAATATTAAAAACTATCTCTTAAAGTATTCTTTTTCGTATAATTATATTTAGTAGGACTTCAAGAACCACTTAAACAGCATTTCATATAGGTAATTAATTTCTTTATTTTTTTCAAATTAATTATTGTTATATGTATATGAAAAAAAAATCTTTCGGGCTGAAGTCCCCCTCCAAAATTAAATCCTGGATCCGCTAGTGGTGTTAACAGCATCAAAACTCTGAGGTCGTGATGGCTGAGAATTTTAAGTGAAAAGTTCAATATTCAGGAGTCTAAGGATGGCGGTTCGAATCCGGCTTGAGCGGGTTGAAGTTTATTTTTTGGCGGATCCACTCAATGAATCTGTAACTTCCCACTGTGGTTAGGATTTGTTAGGTTTTCCCACTAGAACAATTCTCTCAATATACTAAAAATGGCAAGGTAGGAGGATTTCGGAAAAAAAAAAAAAAAAAAAACCTTCAAAACTTCCTATTCAAGAAATATATTCCGTTTTTTCTTTGACCCTGTTCACTCTGAGAAAATACTTATTTCAAAATATATTTTATTAATTTTTATAAACGAATAAAATAAGCTAGGTTGAGCAGTATCGTATTTGAAGCAGTACCATCACCCTACAGTTGGCTCTCCTTTCAGTTTCCACCACACGCAGTTTTTCAAGTTTTTTTGCTAAATTTAAACCTTTTTTTTATTATTTGAAAAAAAAAAACGATCTTAATTATATATAAGTTCTCTATCACTTGAATTCTATTCCAGCTCAAATTCACGCGATTTTTTTCCATGCAAGTACTCAAATCATTGGCAGACAAGGAAGATTAAAATCTGAAATTTCACGATTTTTAACAAATTTTCCAAGAATAATTTTAGTTTTTATTTAGCATAGTATCGATTAAATCAGAATTTCTTAAATTGAAAGGAATTATTTTTTAATTTTAGTTACTATTTCCCACTAAAGGATCCAGGATTTAATTTTGAAGAGGCTTCAGCTCAAAAGATTTTTTTGTATGCATATATTAGGATAATTAGTTCAGAAGAAAGAAATAAACTAACTACATATATGAAAATGTGTTTAAGTGATTCTTTAAGTCCTATTAAATGTTATTAGATGAACAATAATACTTTTAGAGATAATTCTTTTCATAAAATATGGTCATATTTTACAATTTGGAGGGGGGAGGGAGGGTGGCTACAGCCCAAAAGTCCCTCCTCATAGATCCACCTGTGCTATTTCCTGCAGGAATTTTCATCTCCCATAAGGCCAATATCACATGAACAATTCCTCCCATTCCAAGATATTTTATTACTCTTATCTTCTTAAAATCAAGTCTCATGAAATGGTCTATGAATTTATATAATTTTTTCCCCAAAGAAATTTAGTGTTGTACTACTTATAAATATGAATAAAAAATATTTTATATAAAAATTTAATCATTTTAGGTTCACAAACCATTCAGAGAAACTATAAGGTATAGAATTGTACTTGACAAAATAAAAGTTATTTCATTTCATCAGAATTCAAAGTTATTGTGCATTTTTGTTTTTCAACAAGAAAAATTTCTTGTTTTTTGCTATTTATTACAAAAAAAATCAATACAAAATTTCAGTTTATTTCTAAAAAATTATAGATTGTAATGGCCATTAATTGACTTAGCTTATTCCTGAATTTCAGAAATGAAGAAGTTTATAAAAGAAATTGAAGGTGAAATTAAGAAAATAAATGCTGAGCTCTCATATACAAAGAAGAAACTTTGGAAATATAAGGTAATCATTTATAAATAATTGGTAAAATAATTTGTTAATTTTTTTTCTGTAACGGTCACAGAAATATATTATTATTTAATGTACAGCTTAATTTTTAGTAAAATCTTACTAATTAAAGTCGTTAATATTAGTATTATAACAAAAGGAATTAAAGGATAAATATAAATACTGGGTCCAAGCAGGTTATTAACAGAAAATTTATTTAGTCTTGGATTGACTCTTGGCTCAGGAGACCACCTACGATCTCACGAAGCCTCTCTAAAGTGGTTACCTGATCATTAATTAGGGATAAAACCTGATGACTTTTAGAGCACGTATGCTTATTTGGTCAATCCTAAACTAAATAAATTTTTTGCTTACAGTCTTAAATCCAGCCCTGTCAGTTTGGGGTCCAGTACTTTTGTTATCTACTCGATAAAATATAAAAGCTCGTTTATTTAAATGAATCATCATAAAGAAATAACTAAAACATATGGCAAAAAAAACAACAACTTTATTATATTGTATTAAGATTTTGTACCAATACATTCTCTATCAAATGGAGAAATAAATCAAGTCAGTTTCTCCTGTTATTTCTATAAATAAAAAGAAATTGGAAGACATATGGACACTAATACAGTACATAAAGCAACCAATATAGGGCTCATTGGAGAGGGAGTAGAGTTTTATTGGACCCATGGTATTGAAACACTTAGGTGCAAAGGACCTTGTAAAACCAGACATGGGTAGTAGTTACAAAAAAAAAAAAAATTAAATAAAAAATTGAATCGATTTTTTTTATTTTCTATTTTAAGAAGTAAAATATATTATATTTTGTAAATGTATTTTCTTTCTAAAATATAATTCTATTCATTTTACTTATTTATGATGTCATAAAGTTTAGGGCATAATTTTTTACAAATATTTATTGCATTTTACAATATTCTACGTGATGACTTTTTGGCAAGTACTTGGGTTTATCAGTTATTTATGCCTTACATTATTTATTATACATTTTCTATTTTCTAGCATGTACTTGATTTTTTATTTTTATGTATTTTATTATTACCTTAATATGTTCTCTCTCATCGAATCCACAGTCACTATTCCTATTTTCACAAAATATATTCGTATTTGGATTCAACAATAGAAAACTGATTAAGGTAATAATAAAATACATAAATATACATGCTTTCAAATAGAAAATGTTTAATATATTAGGTAGAGGATTTTTAATAATTTAGTATACAAGTGTCAAAAAGTTACTTTGTACTATTTTAGAGTAAACATCCTATATCTTAAAAAAAAGTGAGTAATATTTTTGAACTAAGTTATTGTTATCACTTGATGATTACAACATAAAACATATTTTAAAAAATCATATTAAAATAGAATCATCATTGAAAAGCTAATAAGTAGTTGAACAAGCATTTACATAAAACAGCCCAACAATTAAGAATAGTTTTATATTTATTCTTATTTTATGAAATATTTAAATATTTAACTTTTTTTTCCTTTTCAGTTAGCATATAACAATGCATGTATGGCTACCCAAAGAGGACCACTTGGCCATAGTTCAAACAACTCTTTATTTCAGAAATTTTCTACAGATTCATTAGATGATGAATTTGAAGGTAAACCGTTTTCCCCCAAGGGTTCAAAATAATTGTGCATTTTTTTTTAACTTAGTTTTTTAAAAATATTTCATGCAAGAACTTTGTTGTTGGACCTTACGTTATCATGTTCTTACAAGAACACTTATATAAGAACTTTTATAGTATAAGTTATTTTGAGAACATAATCCTAACAACTTTAATAATAAAAACTCTTCCAAGAACCACTTGGTTTGGATTTTCGTTATAAAATTTCTGTAATTTGATTATTTTTGCAACTAAACCTCCTTCAAATTTGAGAAGAAGTTGGTCAGGGGTGCAGTCAATATATAATACTATATTATATAATAATATTCTTTATTGTCATGTATGTTTATATTTTAGGTGAAATTATATTTTGCTATACAAATAAAGGCTGAATTTTTCATATAGATGGATTAAATCAGTGAGTTAGATATGTTACTTTGTACTAGCACATTGAATAACATTGGCTACTATTACTGCCTGAAACATGCTACATATTTTGTAGAATCTGGTAAGTTGAAACGTTGGAAAATAATAAAAAATACTACTGTATAGTATAGTATTATATATTGACCGCATCCTATACCAACTTCTTCTCAAATTATAACTATGGTCAACCATCTCCAGATCATGGCAAAATTTGAATGGCAGTGAATGGCAAAACTTATGTTTCAATAAAACTTTATACTTATTTAATTTGAAAATAAATAAATTACTCCTTCAAATTTTATTAGTAAAAAATCAATTATCATTTTTGTTTGAATATAAAAACACTGATATTCTGACTGGTGTGAAAAAACTGTACAAATGAAACAGAATAATCCCTAAATATCTTATGTATTAACTATAATATGGTTAAAGATGGAAACTATAATTTATGAAAATAAAAGGAGTCTGCTACTGCGTATTCTTAATTAGACATTCTGAACATTGGGAAATTCCCCAAAATGTTAACAAAATAATGATCAGTGATTTTTGACTAATTTGAAGTAAGTCTCATCGCCAAAATCTAACCAAATATACATGAAAAGACTTCCCAGAAAATTCAAAAGATATAAATTTCAATGCTAAAAGTTTTTGATGTTACTTTTTATAACCAAAGTTCTCACTTAAATGTATTTTCATTTCCATGTTCATGGAATTATGTCTTGAACTACCTGTTTGACATGTTATTTGAGTTAGTTTCAGCATTTATATGAAAGATGATTTCTCTTAAACTTGTTTTTTTTTAAGTGTAAATTCTCAGGAAGAAAATTATAGAAACATAGGATTATTTATTGTACATAGGTTATGAATTTGATCTCTGAACACTATTATAAACATCCTTTGAAATATATTGTAATATTTCTCAATAAACAAGCTCGAAAAAAAAAAAAAAAAAACTTATTTATCATGCGAAGCCATCATATAATATACTTCATTATTCGGATGAAGGGGAAGTCACATAAGATAATAATCTCAAGTTAAATTTGAAATGATATTATTAAATTCAAATCAAACCATAATACAGTAAATGATATCTTTATTACCTTCTTCAACTAATATTTTGGGTTATTTTGATTTTCTCAATTCTTATATTATTTCATTTATTTTTTATGTTCTCAATTTTTAAAAATAATTTAAAATTTCTGTTGTTTCAGATAATTTGGAGTACAGAAACCTTGGTCATTTTGATAACATATTAAGTCCTAGATTTGACTAAAAATAATATGTGTAAATTATCTCGATAAATACCTTCATTACAGAAGAATGGTAGGATGATTCTCATGGATGTGAAAATATATTTGAAGAAATGAACCCTGTATGTAAATAATTTCAATATAAATAGTAATGTGGAGTTCACTTCTGACATTTGAAAAAGTGATATTGTTTAGCTTAAAGGAAATGGAAGCCTGTTTTTAGACTATTTAATAGTTATGTATCAATAAAACTTTATACTTATTTAATTTGAAAATAAATAAATTTTATTTTTGTGTTTTGTTATTTTGGTTTATTATAGTATCCCACCCAATTTACAACTCGAGGATTAAACATCAACAGTTGCAAGAAGTAATACTGCATATCAATTTTTAATATTTTTACTGCAAAATATCAGCTGTTTGTTGAAGATTTGTTTTATTGAATCTAGATTTATAACACTTCTTGTTTTCTATCTGTTAAAATAGAAGAATATGATGAATTTATTCAGTTATAATTAAACTTTAAATAATTGTTTGAGGAATTATGGAATTATCAAAATTTAATTTTGCACATTGTTTCCTTTAGACATACATAGTAGCGAATTGTTTCACATATCCAATATTGTAGAATTTATAAACAGAATCCTCAACCTTTTTCTACTTGAGGGCTCTTTTATACTTACGAATACTTATACCTATCTAGGCACCATAAGAAGTGAAGATGGTAAAATAGACCAGGAGGTCCTAAATCGAGTGAAGAAGACCAATGGAGTGTATCATCAGATTTCCAAAACTGTTATAGGCAAACAAGAATTAAATACAGATGTCAAAATACGGACATTTAAACTCGTGTTCCTCCAAGTTCTCCTGCATGGAAAGCTGTACTGACCTCTGGCTAGTACATAAGTAGGATAACATCAACAGAAATGAGATTCCTCTGAAGAATAGTTAGTAAGACCAGGAGGGACTACATCAGAAATGAAAGAATTCGGGAGGATCTGGATGTTAAATCAGTGTGCGACGCCATGCTAGAGTGGCAACTAAAATGGTATGGACACATCTGTTGAATGGATGATACCAGAAAAGGAAAAGGAAGACGGCAGAGCCAGATGCATGTATTCTGATTTTGGAAAAACGAGAGGACTCACCATTCCGGAGATGAGAACACTAGCCAGGTACAGGGACCAGTGGGCTAGATGGACTGAGATTGCAACTCCACGCTTGACGACATACAGAAGTTAGTGGAAGTAGAAGGGCCACTTTATAAATTAATAGTCGAGTGGCAGCCACCAATTTGTTTATGTTTTTCATGGAGTTTTCATTTTTCGGTATTGCTGATAAGAGATAAAAATAATAATATTAACAAATAAAATATTTAATATAGTTACTTGTATTCTTATTTAAAATAAACAATTATTTAATAATAAATTAAAATTATAAAGTTTTTTACATTGAATTTCAATGTTCAATGTTTTGTACTTAGCAGATAATGATTATAATATGATAATCTTAAACAATAAAATAAGAGACAGCCATAGGAGCACATAACTAGTGATTAAATAGGCAATTTAATGAAACATTACCAACTTTGAAAATTAATTTTTCTCTTGAAAAAAAAAATGAAAATAATGATGAAGATCAACTTGAAAATATTGTTAAAAGATTATGATATTAACAATGACAATTTGAACAAATAAATCTGGTGTGGTACCGGCATCACACAACTTTCACTTATCTCTTTTTTTTAACAGAAATAAGTATTTTCAGACAAAGAATTATAGACAGTATGAAATATTATTTAAAACAATTAATTACTATATCTTTTTCATAGCTGTCTAATGAATTATATTAATGTTTTTGTCACTTATCATTGACTTTTACGACTATATTTTTTAATTCTTTATGAGATTATAATAAATAATTAAATGTCAAAAAATATTTTTAGTCTAACAAGAAAACATTTGTCTACAGTGCCAGCCTTAAGGCCAGTCCAGATGCTCCGTTTCGCGAGTTTTGTCTGTGCAGTTCAAAACGTTGCGTGTGGACTGGAAAACTGTGAAGTTTTGAATCCATTTCGAAGACGGTACAGTTTTAGTAAAACTGAGCCAGAGAGCATAGATTTCCTTGAACTGCGCAGACAAGTCGGTGCATATAGACGGTAGCACCGTTTTCCGATTAATTTTGTTACTCAGTTTCAATTCGTCAGGCGACAATGGTTGACCTTCGGCAATGTTCTAGGGAGTTTTTAACAGATTTTATTGCTCTATATGAAAGTTTCTCCCTGTATTTGGCCTTTTAAATCAAAAGACAGGGACGAGAAGGGGGAGCCGTATGAAATTTTAGCAAAGAAATTGATGCAACGGATGCAAATTGCTGCCTTTTTAGATGCCATTTCCGCGACTACTTTGAACGCCGGGTACTTCTGAGATTTACAAATCTTTTTTTTTTTGTATATCGCGAAAGACACATCGCGAAAATCGACGAGAGTAGAAAAATCATGACGATCTCGCACAAAAATGAGGAAAATATACAGAAGCTCTACAAATTGCAACGTTTTCATTCCGTCTTAAGACTGCGCAGACAAAACTTTGAGCAAAACGGAGCGTCTGGACCGGCCTTTAGGATGGAGAAACCTGAGGATTTGCCCCGGGGCGCCGGCTGATCTTTAGGGGCGCTTGCCACTTGTTAGAAATTAAAATTAAAGTGGGTGATTAATTTTCAGGATGCAGTTATTAAAAGGTTTTTATTAGTGCCGACGTTTCAGCCCAAACATGTGGGTCATCATCATGGGGTGGTTCGAGCACTGAAGATTTTCAAGTACTCGTTTGCAATTTTATTTTTTTACATGTTAAAACGCATGTACAAAAGTTTTAAATAAATAAACACTTTTCCCTCATTTTTCACAAAATATTTCTCGTTTCGATCCTCAAGTTATTGGCCTAATATTCTTTAAATCAGCCGCAGTTTTTCAGGTAGCATAATTCTCTTGGCATGACACTCATTTTTTTTATTTTTTATAAGAACGTTATGAATATTTTAAAAAAATGCTCTAAAAGTTTTCTTCAGCTGTCATTTTAATTTTCAGGGGTCCTCGGACTAGAATATAGGCTTCTTAGACCGGCCATTTTTAAACAGTCGACACTGTTACAGATACTCCAAAGAAATCTGTTTTCACTAGGCAGCAATAAATGAACGAGCAAGTCAGTAATTGGAAGAGTGGCGGTGGCAGGCCGCGGGGATGAGAGGGGGGGGGGGGGTCGAGATCGAGGGGGCACTTGAAGCGATTACATCTTGAGCGCTCGGCATTATATAGTCAACGAAAAGAAGCTGGTTAGGCAAGCCGTGACTTATCTCTCTCTCTCCTGCCCTGTTTTAATAATAACTACCTCCCGTTACCCACTTCAACCCTCTTCCTCTACTGCACTCTATGCCGAACTGTCCTCTTCAGTTCTCTGTGTCTGGGAGGTGGCAGGATCTCGAGTGTCCTGCGTGCACAATAGAGCTATACAATGGAATTATCTGTTGGCGCAAGCTGTATATATATACATAAAATAAACAAAAAGATCCTATTATTTTTATTGAATTATTCTTTAATAATCAATAAAAACCTTAGTTCCCGTAAAGTAAGTCTTAACTACTATTTTTAATTTAAAAAACGATAACAGCATATATAGGTCCTCATAAAATCAATATTATTTCGTGAATATCGAATTTCTTCTATGTACTGACCGTTACAGAAGCGTATTGTAACAATTATATAATCATTGGAATATATAAATAAAAGCCATTTTTCCAGAAATTAATTTTAAAAATCCCTATTATTTTTTAAGAATGTAAGCCATTCAGGGTCTCTACATTTTTTTTTTCTTCCTTTACCCCGCCTTTTCTGATATACACGATTTTTTCCGTGTCTGTTACAAATATAGGGCATGCATATATGCATACTTAAGTTAATAATACTAGAAATGAAAGGAAATTATATTTTTAAAATAAAAATGTGCCTAATTCGACACATCGAAAAAATAATTCGAGAAGAGAAAACAGATCTAATAAAGACAGCTTCACGTTTAAATTAACATCCTACTTGTCTCTAGACAGCCAATCTAATTACCTATAACAAAGTTTACACTTACCAAGATGGCTTCCTTTGTCATTTCCTTTTGAATATCAGTTATTCTTAGTTCTTCTATCTGTGCGGATTGTGTTCCTCTAGACCTAGAATTATTTAAATTTATTTTAACAATTAATTGATTACTAGTTATTCTTTAGTTTATGACTAATTAGTTCAAAATAAATTGTGTTTAATCGCGCATATAAATAGTGTTGTGAAAAAAACTGTTGGTCGATTGTCATGTTAGAATTATTTAATGAATATTAAAATAATACAATTTATTATTTAATCTTACTGACTGTGTGCGCGGGATTTCTTATGAAAGGTACTGTAATTATAAAAGTTAACATTTGAATAAAAATAAATAAAAACGCGTTTAATGTATTTCATAATAAATCATTTATCAATGAGAAAATAATAATTGGCAAGTTCCTAAACTCATCGATGGAATTTCTTAAGTTATCTTTTCATAGATTGAATCACCTATAGTCTTTTGGAATCGATGGATACTCTGGATGTAACCTCATTATAACCTCAATATTTCTCAATTTACTTAATATATTTGTATTCACTTTAATTTTTATTAATATTTATTAATTTGTTGAAATTAAACGATTTAGTACGAAGATAGTTCTTTATGTTTTTCTCTCAAATATTTTGTAACCTTTCAGGAGTGTTAATCTTCAACTGTAAACTTAGCATTAATTGCTGTTTATCGGTGCTGGATTCTATCGATGATATTAGCGCCGAGTTTAGGAACTTGCTTTATGTTTTTGTTAGAATTCGGTATCATTAAAATATAAATATATGTACAAAGTTACTGTACCTATATAGCCAGTGCATTCAGGATTTCTTAATAAACATAATTTTATTAATCCTAAATTATTTTATTGATTATAATTTTTAAATAATAAAATAAATAAAGATTGATTTTTTTGTTAGTCATTAAGCTTATGAAAAGATTCAATTCAATATTTAATATTATCGCTTTTATTCAGATAAAATTAACCCTAATATTAAATAGTATTTAATAATAAAATTAAGACATATCATTTCCAAACTATTAAACGAAGGATTCAAAGAAACAACTAATTTATATTTCAATATCTTTGCTATAGTGTTAATATATTCTTCATTAATAATTAAAAAAAAATGGAAATTTCCTTAAAATTATTCGTACTTTATCTATTTTTATCTTAATTACTTCAAAAATAAATAATTATTATAAAATACC